AGTCTTTAATTCTAACTTGAGTAGTTTTAATGGGCACTGAGTGTGAGGTGTCACCAGTGGCAGTTTGCTGGCAGCATCTGGTCCTTTTGTTTTCTTCTTCTTTTTCCCCACTCTAGTTGGTACAGGAGGTTCATATTTCTTTTTCTTATCCTTATCATCCTTCTTACCACCTCCAGGACCATGGCCACCACTCTGACTTTGACCCATCTTGCCTTGGCCGCTCTAGGCACCAATAACTTTGCACGCTTTTGTAAAGGGACTTTACCTGTTCGAGATAATCTCACATGTACATCATCAGGCTTGCCTCAAACTCATTGTTGACCCTTCTGCCTCAGCCCAAGTGCTGGCATTATAGGTGTGTGCCACCACGCTTAGCTTTCATGGTTTAAAATGTTTTCTGTAGTACTGGAGACTGAATTCAGGGCCTTTTAATTGAGCTACACCCCCACCATCTTTTTGAGAGAGGGACTTGCTAAACTGATCAGGTTGGGTTCAAATTTTTGATCTTCCTCCCCCAGCCTCCCAAAGTGCTGGGATCACAGCCACCACACTTGGCTCCTAATCCATCTGTGGTACCCTTGATTTTACTCAAAACATCAGTGGTTCCCTTAATATCCTTTAAATTACAATTAAAAAAAATTACAATTAAGTCTAACCTTTCTGGACGTCTTTATAATGATTTCAGAATGTAAGCTAAAAACTATTTCCCCAGAATTTGATAATCATGAACTTCGTGTTGATCCTAAGTGTACTACTAGTTATTCATTGTGACTCAGAAGACTATAGTTTTTTTCCTTTCAGCTACTTTCAACTAGAATGCCCATCTTCTAATCTATATAGAGACCTCTCTTCCCTTTGAAATTAGTAAATCTCATTGTACTTGTTACAAATCTTATATATTACAGCAATTATTTATGTTCACTGTTACATCCTGCCAATAAATTATGTTTTCCAAGATTTGTACTAAGCTTTCATCTGCATCGCTATGAGCTGTACGAGACCTAACATGATAATTGCACAATAAGTAGTTAAAGAATGAATATTTTGGGGCTGGCCAGATAGCTCAGCAGACTAAAGTGCCTGCTTAGGCAGAGTGCAGGGGCCAGAGTTCGATCCCCAGCACCATACACCGTGCTGGCCCCACCCCTGGAGCATGCTGAGATGGAGATTGAGAATGGACACGTTGGCACACACGCATAATCCCTGTGCTTGGGAGGCTGAAAACAGGAGAATCACCACGGGTCCAATCGGTGTAGTGAGACCCTGTAGACCCTGTGCTAAATACATTAAAAATAAAGAATGAACATTTCATTTTAATAAAATAGTAGTTATAAAAATACTGTGAAGTATAAATATGCTAAGTTCTGACTGTAAGAAATTGACCAATTTTCTTTTAAGAATTGAGACCCACCCAAACTGAGGAAAAACCATCTGAAATCTTTAAAATCATCCAGTTTATTTTTATGTTTTTATGTCTTTAGTGCAGGGCCTCACTACACAGCTTGGACTTGCAGTGATCCTCCTGTCTTCAGCCTCCCAAATGCTGGGATTACAGGTGCGCATCACCATGCTCAGTCTCAATCACTGTCTCAGCATGCCCTGGGGGTGGGCCTGGCATGGCATGCTGGGGATCAAACCCCAGTCCCTGTGTCTGCCTAAGCAGGTGCTTTAGTCTGCTGAGCTATCTGGCCAGCCCTCATCCAGGTAATTTAAAAAGCAAGGACACAATTGATTTTGACAGGTAAAAATCAAATTAAAATATCATGTTTGGAATTTAATTTTTTCAGTGAACACTTAACATAGCTTATTTTTTCTACTTTCTAAATTTCAGTAATGTTCTAAAAAATGGAATCAAACTTTCCTCTGCTTATAAGCAGTTAGTTGGTCTAATACCACCTACATATGTTGTTTTCAATATACACACTAACTTAACTCAAATATTTACTGAACACCTATTATGTGCCAGGCACTATTCAATGCCTGGCAAATGTTTCATAATATAAGAAAAATAATTAAACCAAGGAAGATGCAGTCAAAAGGAATCAGAAGAATGTAAAATAACCCATAATGCACAGTGGATTGCGAGTTAGATGTGTAATATAATGAAAGTTAATTATCAATGCCATTAGAAATATTAAGGAACAGGGGCTGAGGAGATAGCTCAGTTGAGTAAGTGCCTGCCTGGCAAGCGCTGGGTCCCAAGTTTAATCTCTGGTACCGCAAAAAA